GGAACACAAGGACATTGGTCATATACCATAGGGAAACGTACAAATGTGCATGGAAATGTGCACTGAAACACTGAAATGCAGGGAGGCAGGAAGTTAGGGGAGATAAATCAGGATACAGGAGGAAAGTTACCGTGCACATTGGCAGACGCGCATTTGCCGTAAGTAGGGAGTAAGGGAAGGGGGATCAAGGGTGGATTAATGCGGAAATAGTTGGAGGGTAAGGAGAAGAAAGGTGGAGGGGACAGGGGGGTGCATTGGGATTTGTGGGGAGAGGAAAGGGATTACGACTTTTTAAAAAGGTGCTGGGGGGGTGCCCCCTCTTTCTTCATGGATCTTGGCCAGGTACGACAGGAGTATGCTGCAGCGGCTGGGTACCATAGAGAGTCTCCCGGCTGCAGCAGCCAAAACCTGAATCCTGACAGACCCACAAAGGAGGAGTAAGGCTGGCAGGCTGTGTAGGGGCTGCAGCCCCCCCCCCCCTCCCCCCTTCACTGCTTAGTACTGCTTAGTACTGCTTAGTACTTCTCCTCCCTTTCTGAACCTCCTTTTTCTTGTAGTCATCCTTGCTGATGATAAGTAACCGGACGGGTGCCCCCCAGAATAGAAGGGGCTGTGTCAGTAAGGTAAAAGGAAAACGAAAAAAAAAAGAAAAGAAGAAGCACACCACAGGCCTGACCCCCCGCAACAGTTTGGTAGTTCAGGGGCGGGCAAAATTGCAAATCTTGGTTGGGCTTAAAAAAATAAGCCTTAAAAAATATGGAAAATTTTCGAGATGCCCCTGAAATTTCCATTAATTTGCCGCGTGCCCCTCGGAACGCCGACTTACCCTGTCGTGCCCCTGGGGCCTCTGAAGTTTTCTGCAGGCCCCTGTCAGCATTTCCGCTATGCCCTTACCGGACCGCGGATGGCGTTTCGTCAGTATTTCCTCGAAATACCCTCACAAGGGGCATGCTCTTTCTGTGACACCCTTGCAGCAGGCCACCGAAAATGCTGCAGCAGTCAGTCTCTTCACGTTCGCTGGTTGGAGTTGCTGCCGTGTGAAGGTGAGCGTGTGTGTGTGTGTGTGTGTGTGTGTGTGTGTGTGTGTGTGTGTGTGTGTGTGTG